CAGCACGCTGGCTGCCATCATAGTTGAAGTGGGTAAGCCAGCACGCTGGCTGCCATTGTCCATAGTTGAAGTGGGTAAGCCAGCACGCTGGCTGCCATTGTCCCCTTACCAGCAGCCCAAATGCTCACGACGATGAGCTGGGCTGTCACCGCTTGGCCGCCGGTGGGGGGTTTGGGAGGCCGCATCGCACACAAACACCCACACCGTCCCTCAACTTCCACGAACACACACATACGCAGACTCGTTTCCACACGGACATAGACACACGCACAGAAACCCACACACTACCTCAACTCACTCGACTTAACGCTTCTCACTACACACTTACCGGATAACTCGCACTCTGATTTCCCACGTGATGAAAAATGCTTTCGGGCCACTCGTCGTCTAGTTTCTAAGTTTTTTCTGAATTTTTTTTGTTTCTCGTGTTTCGTGGCAGGTGCAGTACTTTGTGGACCTTGCAAAGCACATTTCGTGGCAGGCGCAGGACTTTGTGGGCCTTGGAGGCAGAGTTTGTGGCAGGCGCAGGACCTTTTGTGGGCCTTGAAGTGCACATTTCGTGGCAGGTGTAGTACTTTGTGGCCCTTGGAGTGCAGATTTTGTGGCAGGCGCAGGACTTTGTGGACCTTGAAGTGCAGATTCGTGGCAGATGCAGGACTTTGTGGGTGTGGAAGTGTAGAGTTGGTGGTAGGTGCAGGACTTTGTGGGCCTTGGAGTGCAGATTTCGTGGCAGGCGCAAGACTTTGTGGACCTTTTCGTGGCAGGTGCAGTATTTTGTGGATGTTGAACTGCAGAAAGATAGAAAGATAAATGGATAGATAGATAGATAAGATAAGATAAGATAAGATAGATAGATAGATAGATAGAGGAGGCATATTTGCTTGGTTAGAAAGTTTTGCACCGGGGAGTTCACCTTAAAATATTGATTTCGTGGCAGCGCGGGTGTCGGGGATGAAGTGCAGATTTCGTGGCGCTGGGGGGTTGGGGGGGGGCGCAGCCCCCCCCCCAGCAGCACACCAGATCCAAAGGTGAGCAGCTCGTGCTTGCTTGCTTGCTTGCTTCCTTGTTTGGTTTCGTCTCTGCAACGAAAACAACAGGAAAAGCAAATACAAAAAGAGAAAGGAGAACAGCTGCCAAAAGAAAGAAAGAAAGATAGATAGATAAATAGATAGGTATAGACAGATAGATGGATAGGCCAAAAAAGCCAAAAGCCACAAAAGCCAAAAGCCACAGAAGCCACGAAAGCCACGAAAGCCAAAAGCCACAAAAGCCAGAAGCCACAGAAGCCAAAAGCCACAAAAGCCAGAAGCCACAGAAGCCAGAAGCCAGAAGCCACGAAAAACAAAAAAAAAAAGAAAAAGAAACAAAAAAAACATCCAAAAATAAATACCCCTCCGACAATAAGTGAGTGCGGGTGTCCACTGCACGGTTGGAGTGGAATCGTCGAAGAGTGTATCGTATCGATTTCATTCGGTTTCACTCCTTCTTCTCCAAATCTAAGCGGTGGACCACTAGACAAATTCCAACTTGCGGAACCAAATGGTTCGTTCCAACGGTCCGGTGTCAACAAGCCATGTGCCAAATCACCATCCCTGCCCAAAAAGCTGCCACCTGCGACCCGCAGCTTTAAACGTTTGGACCACCGTGTGGCACCGGTCGCGCACCGGTCCCACACCGGACCGAACGCCCAGCGGCTCTTGATGGCTGGCACAGGCATGGTGACACGACTGCCGCCAGAGCCTGGGAGGTCCTGAGCCGTCGCCGGACGGCAGTCGCTCAGGGCGACGGCCGTCCGACGCCACGTGGTTCGGTCTTTTTTCTTTCTTGGTGTTCGGATGCGTCAATGATATTGCACATGAGTTCGAACGGTAAATTACAGTGATGTAAATTATACTCTAGATAAAGACATTATACAACCCAACCTCACCCACTAACTCGTTTCCACGGCTGTGGAAGTGCAGCCCAATTCAGAAAACACCCACCCACCACCTTCGTCCGGTGACTTGCCTACCGACCGAGTTTGATCAGACCCGACCGGCCCTCCACCCGGGCGACCGATTCGCGTCGGTCGGCAGACACCCGAAGGGGCGAGTCCGGTCCTCGTCCTCTGGGATGCCAGCGTAGACCTGGCCCTCCATGCTGTCGATGCTGGGGTGGCGATGGCCTGTGGTTGCGTCCGGTGCCTTTGGTGATCTCTGTGCAGGTTCCGGGGTCGAAGTGGCGCCCCGACATCGTCTGTGCACGTCAATAGCGTCTAAGAATACTAGTAGCAAGAACGCTACTAGGGTGGAAGGCCATTCCTACTATGTACCACAAAGTGGGGCCACGGCAAAGCATGTGCCTGCCACCTGGACACCATCGACACAGAAGTCCATCCGCAAAGCGAGGAAAATGCCTGTTGACGAAAGGCGGATGAAGTCCGACGGAAGGTGCCGCTGGTTCAGCTGCAAATATCCCATGATCTCCCCAGATTCAGTGGTCAGCTGCAACATGCTCAGTGGTTTGGAATGGTTTGTAATAAGGTGGTGCAAACTTGCCCTTCTTACAAATTGAAGAACCAGAGTCAGAAAGTGCTTCGCGCGAGTCCTAGTCGATAAGCTGAAGCTTCAACTCACACTTCTCATCTCTTCTCAGTGCATCTGAATAAATATATATATATATATTTAAAATATGCACGGCAACCTTGCCTCTTTCATTCATAAAATCTTCATTCATCAACAGCTCCAAAGTCCAATACATTACATTATGACGATCATCCTCGATAAACTATGACAAACCCATGCTTGATCGACAAAACACCTCTGGGTTCACCAACAACGACAGGCGACAGATCTGGTAAACCTACATGGATCCACGTCAGGACGCCAGCATCTTGCAGCACTCAAACCAGACCAACCAGGCCATGGCACGAACGGCTAGTCTGCAAAGCACTCGCATGACATACTTCTTCACCGGCTCTAAAACCTTGGATGCGAGCTGAACAGGCATCGCATGGCATCGCTGTCACACCGGCAGAGGCTTCCTTCTTGAATCTGCAACAGCCACGTGCGGGTGTTTGGATTCTGTTGGAAGGTTTTGGCCAGGTGTTTAACTTAACGAGGCAGGCCTGAACCTCAGGCGAAAGGGACAAGAACCAGACTGATTGGATTGGGGTAAAGCTCATTGATTGACTTGGAGCCAGCTGACCCACAGCCCACGGTGGCTAATTTAATTGTTCGAGGCCCTGAACGCTATGCTTTTCAGCGATCAGGAAAAAGCAGGGTCCAACCAGTTTCTTGCCTCAGGCCTCCAACGGCGTCCGTTGGTCCTAAAAGTCAAGCTGACTGAAATTAGTACTAAAAAAGTCTCTGGCCGGTAGTCTTGAGCGAATTTTAGTATACTAATTAGCGATGCCCTTTGCTCCTAGTAGCGTCCTTGTTCCCAGTAGTAAGGCCGGGAGCCCCGTTCGTAGCGTCCTTGCTCCGTTCGTAGCGATGCCCTTTGCTCGGTTCGTAGCGTCCAATTCGCTCAAGTCTACCCCAAAGGTCCGATGGCCGACTTCAAGGCCAGGAGAGCGTGCACACCGTGCAACACAGGACGTGGACGCAGGAGATTGAAATGATATTGCAGTGGTGCCCTCACCTCGCACAACGTGTTTGTCGTCTCCACAGCGTCATGACAGAAGAGCGATGACATATCAGGACCCGTGCAAGGGCACTCAAGTGAACAGCCCAAGTAGTGGCCAGAGGGCCCCTCAAGCCACCAAATGCAGCTGAAGGAACAATCATGACCAGTAGAGCAAAGATGAAAGGCAACAACACCTTACTGTCCAAGGTGCCGTGAGAGAACTTCACATGAGGGGCAAGCCAAGAAAGCTACATCCTCGGACTTCGTCTTGAGGAAAACCCGAACATGCTGGGTTCATCTGGGTTCAATTTTCAAATTTATAATGTTTTAGAGGGAATGGTCGGAATGGTGCATCCAAAGCTTCGATAGAAGGCAACAAGCCAAAACCCCTGCCCTGCACCCGGCGGCTCCAAGGCTGCGACCTCCGAGAAGGTAATGAGCAACTGGATGGTCAAGTAACCTCATTTGGACCGAACCCTCTTTCGGTGCTCGCCCGCGCCGCTTCACCCACATCGAGCCCCGTGCCCACACCCTGGACCGGACGCGAAGTGTGGGGAATCGCCAGGTCACAGGCGGTGACGGAAACGGCAAACTTGATGAGGTAGAACCCCCGGATTTGCGCCGCCACTGTCTGCAAAACTCCTGGACCTGTGCAGTGTGGATGCATGCCTGCACCCTGCTGGCCTGGGCCATAAGGGGGCCAAAGGCCAGGATTTGATATGATTTCATTGCAGCAAGTACCTAGGTCATGCAAAGTCATTTGAGTGCAGGTTGTTAGACTAAAGCCACACTCCATATCCTCAAACAGCAGGGCAACACGAAGCAACACAACCGAAACATACCGAAACTGAACATTCTTCAATGAAGCACACACATTATTTGGACACACATGCACGCAGCGCACAGCATGCGCACAGCATGCGCACAGCATGCGCACAGCATGCGCACAGCATGCGCACAGCATGCGCACAGCATGCGCACCGCATGCGCACAGCATGCATACCTCGTAGACGACCCATCCAATGAATCCCTTTCAGTCTCCGGCGTCGGCGCCTTCGCGCACCTCCCGTGGATGGAGCTCGCCGCTCAGGCGGGACGGCTCCAGGCGCTCGGGCCGACCGGGCGCCTCGGGCCCCCGCTGACGAAGGCCGGACCTCGGGCGGTCCGGGTCCGGTCTGATTGAGAGCCGCCTCTTTGGGGGTCATGCTCGGTACCATCCACATCTCAAACTGAAATGAAAATGACATCATGATGAAGTTTGTGCAGATTGCAGGCTTGTACTTTTGAGGAGGGTATATAAAGGCTATAGGCCCCAAACTCACTGGCCACATCAATGTCACTGGCCACCGCCCATGCCTACCCAGTGGCGGGTTCTCGGTGAAAGCTCGCACGCGGAAGTCGACCTCCGAGCAGATCAGCGGTGCAGATCGACCGATCAGGGTGCCACTCTAGGCCGATCGAAGCGTGCAGATGTTGGGGGGCCTAATGTCGGGGTGGTTTTTCGCTGCACGTGGCACAACAACATGTTGCAGGAGAATGCAGGTGGCTTTTCTGCGGTATTTTCTTCAATTCTCAGGCCTGTGGCTGTTCTCGGTGTGGCGATTCTTCCACAATGTCTCCCGAGTAGAGGCGCCCCTCTCGCCCCTCACCTGGCGGCTCGAACGTCGGACTTCTTGCCGGGGCAATGCCAAAAAGAACTGCACGCCAGCATCGCTGGCATTCTTCATGGTTTTAAGAATTGCACTTCGCCACTCCTCAAACCCGAACCCAGGTCCTTTCCGCCACTCGGCACGCTCTGGCCGCCCTACCTCGACCCCTGGAACGCTCTGGCAACTCCAAGCTCTCCATGGTCTTTGAGCCCCGGAAAAGGGCTGCGGACCCGCAGGGAAGGGCGCTGGAAGTCGGTGAGGTGGAAGAAGGGTGGCGTATGATGGCCTACATTGGAAGAGCGAAAGGGTATTTCAAGTGATTTCAAGATGTTATGTAGCTGACATGAGAAGGGCTGGCTATCCCCATAGGGCTCGCTGTATATAACTATGAAAATATTATATAGGATCGCGGGGAGGTCATCATCCCTGCAATGGACAAACGATATAAATGAGACTTGAATGGCAACAGAAGCGCTGAGCAGTTCAGCAGCCAAACTGGCCTTTCCAAATGACACAAACTTGTGGTCGCGAAGAGATTCTCAAAGAGCCCCTGAAGTCTGTATCACACACAAATGGTCGCCGGTGATGGGCATATAATATTTTGTAGTGAACACATTCATGCGTGTCACATTCAGTGAGGTGCATGCCCCAACCTGCAACACGCAAGCTTACTGAATGGAGCAGTAGAAGTACAATTCAGTGGCTCGCCTGGGATGGATCTGGGGCCCCTTCTTGGATCTGGGGCCCTTGGATGCAGCGGTTGAGCTGGTCTCTAAATTCAGTAAGGCATGGACCCTCTGCCCGCCCGCTGGGCTGTCGGGCCGGGAAGCGGCCGAATCGGCAGCTGAAGCAGGGGGCCGATTTGGAAGGGATGGAGATCGTTGAGGTGCATTGGGGAACAGATCGAATCAAGGGTAACAAGGTTCAACCACATAAACCATTGCTCAAGATCCTGGTTCTTCAAAGTGGCCTTGTGATATCCTAGTTTGAGGTTACTCAAGCCCCCCAAGCGTCACTTTGGAATCCTTAAAAGGTCACTTTAAAGAAGCTGGAGATTAACCAATTACAGTAAGTAGAACCGACATGAACCGACCCAAGCTTGGCAACTCAACAAGCGAACGAGATCGTTGGTCCAAAAAGGTGTGATGATATGCGAGGTGGTCTTGGCGGAGGCACGTCCAAGGTGGTCTTGGTTTCATCGTCCAAGGTGGCCTGTGCCGATTAAAACATGCCGCAGTTAACCTCACCCCTCTGGAATGTTCACCAGAGCGAACTGGCGAGTTTTTGGGTGTCCATTCCGAAGACTTGTTTCATTCAATTAGTCCGATCTCCGACTGTTGGCTGAGACTGCGGCCGGTTCGTTCCCTGGAGCTGAATCGGATATATTCTTCCGAGCCGTTTCAAGCAGTTCATCTCTTGGTTTTTGGCATGATGAATATAAGGAAGGAGGAGTGCGGCAACTGCTCCATATGGAGCAGTTTCATAAGTTCACAACAACATCTCAGGGTCTTGTGAGCTGAAAAGTTGGGGTGCGGCGGCCAATGTCCAAAACAGGTGCACCTGGACTTTCAGCCAAAACAATCGCCCAGTCACAGGCCCATGACACTTCTCAGCCTAGGTCCAGAGCCGCCCGCTCCGCCGGCATGGGCGCCTGGGCGGGCATGGGGCTAAGGCTTCCAACGCAAACGATGCAAACGATGCAATTGGTGAGTGTCCAGGTTCGTTCAGGCAATGTTGAGCCCCTTTCTTGCTTGGGGCACATGGCATGCCCCTTTTTTGCGTGGGGGACGCCTCCAACTCCAATGACCTAGAACCATGCAGAGGCACCAAACGGTCATGGGAAAAGAAAATTGAACCAATTCCACTGCGCAATTCGCTCTCAAACCCAAGCCCCTCCCATCTTCACAAATATAGTCTTTCAGCGCGGGCAATGATTGTCAATGCTATTGCGAGTTCTGGTTTCTTCGGGATTCGGCCAAAACAAGAATGAGTCCCATCGTATGAAGGAACTTTTTTGGAGACAAACCGAACAGTCTCAAAACAGAAGCTGCCTGCCAAGACTGCTGACATTCAATGACCAACATGTAGCACGGCAATATAAGTGTGACTCCAATTCTTGAGGTGTGCATTGCAGAGTCTTGTCAGGATCCCTGCTCCAGTGGTACGTCAAACTGGAATGTCTCTCACGTCTTGCCTTCCCATGTCAACATGGAATGTCTGTCAATCCTAAAGTCTGTGGGGGCGGCAGTCTCTCGCGGTGCAGGTCAACTCTCAGAGCGTTCTTCCTGTGTCAGGAACCTGGAATGTGGAGCACCAAAGCCTCTACACTCGATTTTAAACTAATAGTAACAAGTGCATCGCTTCTAGTAACAAGTGCCTTATTAGGAGTAACAATGTTTGCTATTAGAAACTCTACTCTTCATCTTCGGCCGTCCCATGCTCCCAGCGTCCCGCTTCCTGTACACCTTCCCACCTCTCCACGTCGGCTCCGCTCGCTTCGGCTCTCACCGCGTCTCTGCGCGGTTCGTCGCTGCGGTGTTCGCGGTGTTGGTGTTGAAACCCATGGGACGCGTGGATGTCCCAGCGCAGGTGGAAGACCAACAAATGGCAAAGGGGGCGGATCATTCATAATCATTCATATGTTGTTTTCTTTTTCCTCATCCTTCACCAGGTCCTACCTCAATAGACCTGTTGGGGCATGTCTGTAGCAAACAGGGCGGCATGACATTGGCCCTATGCAAAATCAAATGCCACAACACCCGTGTCCTGCTGCTGAAGCCTCAGTAATCCGCGCCCAGTATATATATATATATTATATATAACTCTATATATTATATACAGTTTTACATATACGCACATAACAAAAATAATTAGAGTCATGAGTCCCGTCGTCAATAAAGGGACCAATAAAGGGATATTGAATTTTGAATGATGTTGATTCCTTCTCATCACCTTTTGTGGGTTGTTCTATGATGTTCTATGTCTCTATATGTCTCTATGTTGTTTTCATGATCTGAGTCAGTGGGGAAGCCCTTGCAGCCAATCCTGAGTTGGATGATGCTCTGTACGAAGAATCTTACAAATCTGATCAACTCTTCAAATCTTCCACCATCTGCACTCAGCAACTCGAGACCTCGCTCGACCCGTTGCGAGGCGCGTTAGCTATAGGGCAAAAGTGCCGCACTTAGACATGTGGATCCATTGTGCATCACTCTGCCCTTCACATCCTCACCCTGCCCTTGGCATGGTTGTCACGCCATCCTGCTGAGAGCTGCATGCTGTGCAAATGTTCGCAGGCTATGCTTCACACAACTCTCTGCGAGATTCCGTCCCGACGCCAAGGTCTCCAGTGATGTCTCCGGTTGATATCGCTTCGCTTTGAAAGGCAGGTGGGGTCCTAATGGGTCAAAACGGTGACCCCTGCGGTGACCTAAATAACGAAGTCTCACGAGGGCGAGGTTGTTTTTGTTGGGGTGCAGTTGAACCAGCACCCCCCGCTCAAAGAAGTGGTGTGCACACAAATGATCCAGACACAACACACAGAAACATGAATGCCACACCAACTTTGCTTTACGATCAACTCTTGCTCATCAGATGAAGGACAAATTATAGAAGCAAAGCACTAGTAACGAAGGTCCTGCTGTGAATCTCTGATGCCGGGGCACTCCTTCCATTATAATTCTATTAGCCTTGGTTAGGTTGTGTTGAGCCTTTCTCAGACTGACACCCCATAAACCAGCAATGTAAACTTTAAACACGTGCATAATTAGGGGCCTCACAACATATGTGCCAACAACAGCACCACATGGAGACACAGCTGTGGTCGCTGATCACCCTCATGCGGTGGCCGGCGCAACTTCCCATGCGACCCGACGAGAACCCTCAGACCATGCCGTGTCCGACCAACGAGCAGCTTCAGCACGTCCAGCGCAGTACACTGCACTCAGGTTGACAACCCTCTCAATGTAGAATCTTGATTATATAGATTTGATTAGTACAACCCCCCCAGATGAAGAAGTTGTACATGGTTTTAGAATCCAACTGGTGGGTGTTCGAAATCAAGAGTCTACATTAGGATACATTATAGTGACACCGCCAAACAAATGTTGATCTGACTCTGAGAGGCAAGTCTCAGTTGTCGCTCTGAAGAATGGATAGCATCTTGATCGATGTACATGCTTCAAGGTGTCTCTCAGTGCTGGAGTCGTCCAAGCTTCCCACTTGTTTAGATATATGTGCTGCGAAAATGCTTCGTTTAGTATGTGATTCAACCACAGTATATAAATTACGTAGATCATTGTAGATCATAGATCTAGAATTCCTAGTGCCTACGAATCACAGGGCGCTCGTGGCACGGTCCGAATCATGGGCCCCGCAAATCCCGGATCGCAGGGTGCTTCGCCGCAGCCGAGCCATCGCTGGGTATCAGGATTGGGTCATCAACCAGGTTTGCCGGGGCCTGCAGAATCGTATGTGGACATGTCTGTTGTTTTCAGACCCCGATCCAGATTGACATTCAACATCTTGTCAACCCAAGCCTGACAGGGGTGCAAGTTGCATGGCTTTGGCGAACCACAAAAACAGTCCGTCAAAGGCACACCGACCATGCACCAGTGCTGGATTTGACTGTTCGAGCCTGCAATTTTTCTGTTCACGACTCTGTCCAAACGAGAGGAACCGGCTGCAGCTCAACAAAGTTCCACTCTCGGCGCATCCCGATTCAAGGATTGTCCCGTTGCCGTTGAGCTTCCGGAGGGCCTTTGCCGTTTTGAGCCACACCCAAGGCCAACTGAGCGTCCAATCAAAGAAATGCCCCTGCTAGAAAGGCACCAGCACGGTGCCTTTTTAAGGTAGGAGGAGAGACTTGCGTGATCAAAGGCTCTGACATCGAAGAACGTGACCTTTGGACTGTGTACATGACAAGTGTATAGATATATATAGTGGGTTCAGAGTAGGTGGCACAATCCCCAAGAAGGACATCTTGCGGGTTGTGCAATCTACTCTGAAGCCACTGTAAGTCTATAATTCACCACCTCACACTGGTACAATGTGCAACCACCCGTAACGAGAACGACCCGTATTTGCTTGTGAATTCCCTGTTTTGTGCAGCTGCAAACACCGAGCCGCACTGGTTACAGACCTGTGACACTGTGACCAATCAGAAGCATGACGTGATTCTCCCAGCAGACAGCCCTGTGTTCCACCATGTTCCACCTGCATGCCTTGAACTTTCTAGCTACGTATGGGCGTGGAATAGAGAGACCTCCCAACGAACCCTATGGAAAAACAGGCAGTGACCAAAACATACAAAATCATCCAAAACCCACTGGCCTCCCTGATTCTTCCAATACAGGCCCATAATCATTAGTCCCTCGTCACCCGTGTCTTTGATTGTGTCTCCGCACATGTCACGTCTTTAGGCCGGCTAGGCGTCTTGCCAGGTCATCTGGCGCAAGCACGGGGTCTCCTTGGGCACGTCCTGGACCGGCGTCGCTCAGGTCGCTGAAAAATTCCACAGATTTGATGAGGGCACTTGGGCAGTTGGATGCACTTGGTCGACATCCCACTGTCCGTCTTGCCCGAAAGACCGGGCATGGACGCAGCATTCGCTGTAGCGCCAACGCCCTCTCGCCACAACTGGGGAAGCGATGGTCTTCAATGACCAACTGGGGCCAAGCTGCAAGAAATAAAGAAGCATACAAAATCAAAGCGAGAGAGCCCCTGTAGCTGTCATGTAGGCCAAACAGTTCATAAGCGTCTGCGTCACGTCTAGAATGCAAACCTTGGGAACCAATTGGACTCGAAAACCCACTGCCATTGCCAACCCTGAAGATATCGATCGACAAGTGAACCCCCGAAATCAGCAAAAAGTGTTGAACATAATATAGGTTCGGTTCTATCATGTTCTATCCCAGCACCTCTACAAATGACAAAAAGTTTTGCACGCGGGCTTTTCAGTTTAACATCCTCCTCTGTCTGCCTTCTGCTGATTGCTGGATATCTGGATGCAGGTTCCATGTTGCATCGCGGTTTGAGAAGAGAGCTCCCTGGCTGTTGTCAAGTAAAAAGGGCATGCTGATTTCTTCAAGATCTCACCTCACCCTCATTTCAAGAGGCCTCATTTGAAGCCCATCTCCCGTCGGACCATGTCCGAGCGTAATCCACGTTCCGACGTTGTGACTCCAGACGCACGCCGAAACGCTCCAATTGAGGATACCAGACTCCAACACAACCTGGTGGAGCATAGAACCGATTCTGCAATCGTGGAATCAGTGGAGTTGAAACAAAGATTGGGTCATCCCTAAAGTGTCCAGGGGATGCTACTTATTGGTGGGTTTGGTCCATTCACTATATATACTAAATTGCACTATCACCGCATTACACAGCGGTTGATCTGACCAGCTCCAAAAAGAAAAAAGTGCTGGGGTTCTGCCATGTGGTTTCGCTTGTTCTTCGTACCCTGTGACTTTTGGTCATCCCGGTCCAAGTGCGAAACAACCTGAAACCAATGGGCTGTGGTGTCTCGGTTTGGGCGTCTCGGACGTTCTGGGGCGCCCATGTTTAAGAGGGCGCCGCTTTCCATTCTCCGCCGCTTTCGCTACGACCATCAGCCAACGCACGCGGCGTGCACCTCGGAAGCCTGCAACCACCCGGAGATTATGGGGAGTTCCGGCACAGCAAAAGCAGAAGGGGTCGAGTTTCGGGATGAATTCGCTGAAGACCAACCTTCTGGATTCACAAAGTGCTCCACAAGACTCCCTTAGTATCAAAAACAAGATGTGCATGGCCTCTTGCCATCCATTTGGTTGGAATATGTTGGAACATAACCCCCGCAATGTTCTCTGGCTCCTTGCCATGATCATTTTGGTTGGCTGGCCTCCATGTTGGAAGCCACCTCACTGAAGATCATGTTTAATGATGGTTTATGTGATTCAATCACGTCTCTTCTCAGTTTGCCCCCAAAAAGAATCCCGCGAAGGTGCCAGGTATACCGGCGATCCGAACGCTTCGGATCTCCATCGGTCCGTATTTTGGATCGTCCAACTGCTGATTGAAAACGGGCATCCATCGTCGTTGCCGGTTTTGGCCCTTCCGAGGTGCAACAGTTTCTAGACATTGTGGCGAGCGTGAATCAAATCCCTCGGTGAGACCGAACCCATCGAGATGAATCCAATCCTCAAGCTGCAAAAGGTTCGGCCTGTTGAGGGCGTGTCCTTTAAAACTCACATGCACCAAGTTCGTGACTCAGGCAAAGGATGCACGACACAAATCGCCTCCTTGTTTCGGGACTCTGTGCACTTAAGATATTCCTTCCATGGACGTGGCAGCCAGGTGTAGATGCTTTTCGGAAGGGATTGTGGGACATCCACCCCCTGCGTCTGAATCGGAACCGCACAAAATGGCTGGCTCAAGGGCAAAGGACTTGACATCCCGGAGGGTGTTCTCGACGGCTCTGCCCGCCTCTGCCAGAAAACCAACCTGTGAATTCTCTAAAAAGAATCGGACCATCTTTCTCGACCAGTCAGCCAACCCAGACTGGCAGCGCCAGTCTCATAGTCACCAGATTTTGAAACCGAAGTGCCCACGAAGTGCTTCCGCCCTGTCTGGTTTTTGGAATGCCTCGGAAGAGTTGGGAAGGCTAAGACATCGTCATTAAAGGTTCAGTTGTTCTATATATCGTCCTTACTTACTCAACATGTCACAACATACCGCTCTGGCGCACATTCACACGTCAGTAACTAAGAATTCGAGTCAAGCTGGAAAGATGCTTCACATCCTTTCCTCTCTGCTGAGAGTGAACCTTGGGAACATTGAAATGATCCCAAATGATACATTTCATCTTGTCGGGGTGCTTCCCATTGCCAATGATGGATCATTGAGACTCTTCGACCAATCTACACACTCTTTGAACATGCTGTGCTGTGACATGAAATGCAGCATTCTGGAGTTACGGGAGTTATATACACGATACTCTTCCGGCACTGCATAACCAAAATTGTTGCCGGACAAAGGGGCAGACAAAGTCTAATGTTCTCCCTGATTCTGCCTGACTCTCCCTGATTCTCCCCCCTCAAATCGTCCACGTCGGAACCCCCACACGAATTCCGAATCGTCCAGTCCTCTTGCTACCAAGAGGCTGCCAGCCCAGAAGGAGATCCCACCTGCAGCTGTGGACTGCCCTGACAGGTGCCGTCCGCAGGAGGGCCAAAGAGATGCAAAGACCCCACACAAAAAAGTGATGAAAAGCGTCTAGAAGCCCAGCCGACCAACTTCACCAAATTGTGCTGAGACAAGATCTGTTCCTCTATGACTTCTCCCGTGCGACCGACACTAGGCCTGCAGAGAGAATCTTGCCACATCACGCATTGAGTTGTTTTGTCCTTACCCGCCGAACCCAACTCTTTCACGGGTCCCAAAATCAAGTCCAAACAGCTTAACAACTTTAGATAACTTTAGTAGCTCCAAGGCATGTTTGGAGGAAAAATGGTTTCTCTATCCATGTTTGGAGGAAACATGGTTTCTCTATCCATTTCAGGGAGCACCAAATGCCCACAGTTCTCTCCATGCCATTGGCATCCATTGGCATGTTTCTGCGGGTTTCCCTGCGCAGCGGACCCATGTCGCGCGCCTCCGTCAGAAATCCCAGCATTTCCAGACCTTGTTCGCCAGATCTTTCCAAAGGAAGGGAAACACAGGCAGGTCTGGACAGGAATCATGGTGATCACTAGCGATCCAAAAGCAGCTGGGAGCAACCCTCTCTCCTTCCTTCCCGATCAAAGTCAGGCCAAAACCTCTCTTCAATAGTCAAAGTCTCCATGGAATTCGCCTGTGGTCAACTGTGAATTGGTTTCCCATGGTTTCCTGTAGCATTTAGGCTGTTGACGGTCCATGAGATGTTCTCATCCCCCAGACCCCCCCCAAAAAAGCCATCCGAACATTCATTGGCCATCCGAACATGCGTCGATGATGTAGCTTCAACCATCCATCGGTCTGGCTCTCGGTCGCTCCGGACCACTTCCCCACCAGGTCCAAGCGGCGACGCCGCTGCCTGGGTCGGCAAAGGTCCAAAAAAGGAGGCCTCGGTGGAGGTTCCCACCGATCCGCTGGAACCGCGGCATCCGCGGTTCCAAAACGTCGGAGCCCCGCACCGGGCACGGGGCTTCAGGCCACCTGCAAGGATCCATCGAACTGTCCCATGTTCCATCCACTACAGGATGACTAACCTCTATCGTATTCTATCGTCGATTTCTTTATTGAGCTACGTAGTAGCGGGCCAACATCACCTGAGAGTTTCTCTCCGATCTGCTACCAAATCGCGGACAGCTGCCAGCATCGAGCAGCTGAACCGCTGATGGATCTGATCGAATCTATGGAAACCACGTTGCCTCGAGAGAGAACAATGTAACATTGCTCGAGAGAACAGCTTACTGTACATTGATCTTCGAGTGACAGTACCATTCACCATTCCTTCTGGCAGGTCTGCGAAGCCTCAACCGGTCCCAGGCACGGCCAGCTTCACCCATCTGCTTGGAGCTGTCAAGGTCCCGCCAGGCGGCCAGCAAACCAGACCCTTCCGGTGTGGAGCGTTGGCCGGGGGCGCCCCACCCACGTGTGGTACGTTGGTGTGGGAATCTTCGGATATCTTCGGGTGCTACGATGTGATATGGCAAAGTCATGGGTGCCAAAACCAAAATACCACGACTCCCATCACAATAAGTGCATTCCGCATTCCTATGCATTCCTTGCCTTTCAGGCATTCTTAGGGGCATGTCGGGGGTGTTCACATCGCTCAGTCGCATTCTGCAAAGTTTTGCTTGATAAGCGACGGGCTGAGCAATCCCAAAATGGTCTTGAGTCAAGAAAGGAAAAAAGGAAGAAAGGAGCGGCTGCTGCAGTAATGAGAATCATATCTGATGATTTGGGGTGGACTGGACTGAGATGGTCAGGAGTACAACAAAAGGATACATCACTTGTACAGCGATGATCATGAAGCACTACTACAGTAGGTGGTTTCAGTGGCTCCGGGCATGGAGCTGACTTCACTGGAAATAGGACGATACTACTGACGATACTATCACACCATCCAGCCCAAGAAATTCCTCTTCTTGAATTCTTCCTTTTGGGCGGAGACTTTGAGCTTCGGCAGTGTGACCCTTCCAACCTTTGGCTCTCCAAGTTACGATGGTCGAAAATCAAACTCTGCAGTGAGGCGTTGAAGGCCTCGGTGACTGACAACACAAGCAAACCTTTTCCATTGGGAGGCTTGCATGATGTTGCAAGCGCAAGAAGCCGCTTGCACGTGGTGCACCAGCTTGGCTGGCCGAGTGCTTGGCCCAAGCATCGCAACCGGCACAGGTGGTGATGGGTCGATATGGTGGTCCATCACGACAGGAGGAGTTCCACCTTCCTCTTCGATCCTTGGAAGCCCCTTCCTCATGCAAATATCCCCCTTACTCAATGTGTCCCGTCAGGTTTCTTTATTTTATTAAAATAAGCGTTTATGAGTTTATAAGATTTATAAGGAATAGGTAACTCATGTGATAAGCCATTGAGTAAGGGGGATACTCAGATGTGTTTTTCCGCCATCGATTCTTCTCGGTGCAAAATCGCACGAAAGCCATAAGGATGGAGCTGAGAACCGACGAAAAGGGGATGGAGCTGATGGAGCTGCTGTGGAAAGATGATCACCGCATGTGGGTGCTGTCAAAAAGATTCAAAAATGTATGTCCAAGAATTCGTCAAAGGCGTCTCCCCCTCTTTCTCCTTCTTTGGAATCTATATTATATATATATACGTGAATTTATATCGATGAACTCTCTATCTTCTGTGACCTACCGCAGAAGATAGAGGTAAGGTGGTCCGCAGGGTGGTCTCGGACTGGAAGCTCGGCTGACAAGGCACGTCCTTGTCGGGGATCTTTGCCAAAATGTGCTCTACCTCAGTGAGGAATGTCTGGCTTACCTCGTATGCAGACGGATGCTACTACTTCGACCACACATGTCACGATTGTAAAAGGGAGACGCTTAGCTTCGCCCTAGCTGCCTCAAGTGGAGGGTTGCCAGGCCCCAACCTGCAATTCATGTAGCGCTGCGGTTGAGGATTGGCAGGAATTGGCGGTTCATCTAAGCAGGGATGACCTCCAAGGGAGTTTTCTAGTTCCCGTCTGGATTCTGCCACGCAGCCGGTGGTTTGTTCATGGCATGGTGTCTTGCAGGCGGGTGGAGTTGCGCTTTCAGGGTTTCCTGTCAAGGTAGATCCTTCATGGCCCATCAGCTATGTGGGGATTGCGCGTGGTTGTTTTGAGGACCATGCATCTCTTTTCCCAAACAACGGCCCAAAAAAGCACACCAATAAAGCCCACGTGGTTCATCAAGGACTGATGCCTTCACCTTCACCGCAATCGCAGTAAGCCAAACAGTAGACTGAGCAGTGCTCACTTCCACCACTCCGCCACTTCCACCAACCACTCTTCCTCACTTCCAAGCAACGTCTTCGACGCGAGAGGCCTGGAGAAAACACCACTCGAAGCGCAGCGCTGCGCTCGGGTCTTTCCGAATCCACGTTTCATATCAATCAGCAAAGGGTACCGAAGGGTGTTGTTGCTATACAACGGATTTTGTTTGGGACACTTCCAACCAGCTCTCATCCTGAAGCAATGTTGCACTTGACCCACAGCAAAATAAAGAACTCACGCGGCCAACAATCAAACCAAAAAAAAAAACATTGAGTGTGGAGGTGGGTAAGTGCGAACATGATAAAATACCATACCCTTCGACGAACATCCGGTGCCGCATACTACAAAACACCATCAAACACCGAACACCCAGCTCTTTCCAGAGTTACCCAGCCTTCATCTCCCGGACATCTAGGTCTCTAAGCCGTTGCCCAGTGCGAATGAGCCCCTCCTGTGGCGAATCGTTTCCGCAGCTTGGTCGAATCGTTTCCGCTCTGGGCAGGGTGGAGTTCGTTTTGCTCGCGCTGCAGGGATTTGATGGGATGTGCTGGAACTTTTGTTAGTTGTGGGGTGGAACTATCTTATCTCATCTCCTTGTGGGCTGTCCGCAATTCTCCATCCACACACTTGGTCATAGCATCTGGGAACACATAACATACATTGCCCCATCTTCCATCATACAATTACTGCAATCAGCATCATTGTACTGGGGAAACGGAGCTCCAGCTTCAAGTGCCTTGACGTGGCACAACTCAAAAGCTGCCTGGGCTGGCTAATTCGCCTGTTGAATGCAAGTCCTCCCTTGGCCATTGGGATTAATCATGAATCAATCCCAGGTCAACTTCATATATTTGTGATCAAAGGAAGTTTAGTGTGCAAAACTTCCGTGTTACGGACATTCAACAGCTGTTCAACCACCACTCATCATACACCACTCATCATACACCACTCATCATACACCA